TGCAGAAAACCATGAAATTCCAAAAGGTTCACAAAATTTTTCTTGCCACTAAAAGTCATTGTGGTACAGCAAATACTCTTCTTGACAGAAAATTTCCTACATGGCATATTGAAGCTTAATTTGAAAAATTACCTCCACGAGCTGCCATTTGACACACACATAACCACATCTACCTCTACAACCTCATTTGATACTACATTTTTGTGCAGGTATATTCAAAAGTGGGCTCACTTGCATGTCTGCTTTAAGTTCAACCAGCAGATGTCAGCACTGATCTGAGTCTGAACCTCAGGTTAGCTCAGACAGTGGACAGCACAGCCGGACGAGGAGAGGAGCTGCTACTGACCTTCTCCTTTTGGTAAAGTGCAAAGACAACAAAGTTTCAGTGAGTGACCTCTGACCCATGAGCATCATGTACACATTTACATTGCTGCCACTTCTCCTTTGCTATTGAGACTTTTGTTCTTAAATGTGGACATGATGTGAAAGTTTTACTCATAAGATTCTGAGCATTGTTTGACTTTTGAACAGATACGATATAAAAGGAAATTTACTTTCACACTTTCAAGTATGGTTAATGAATTAAAGTAGTGGAAGAAGATTCTTTACTCAAATGAAAGCAGCAATACCACATTGTAAAAATACTCTGTTATAAGTAAAGGTCCTGCATTTAAAATGTTAATGGAACAAAGGTACAAAAGTATTAGCATCCAAATGTTCTTAACGTACCAAAAGAAAAGTACTTGTTACGTAGAATGGTACTTTCACATTAATATATATCATATTATTTGATTATATTAATTGAAGCAGTATTGTGTACATCACATTTAATGTTAATGAAGTGAAAGAAAACCTGTTTTCATGTCAGTTCTTTGTAAATTAATCGGTTTTTGCAAATTTACTAAATAAAATCAAATGTCTTGTCACAATAAAGTAATTTCATGATGATTTTGTTGTAGTGGTCTTTATTGTGCAGGGCATTTGGATCTGAAGCGACTGTTACAGAAGAGGATCACTTTTGAGATCTATATCACCAGTGAGTTTAAATATTCAGTGAAAGTGCAACTTAGCACGCTCCGTGAATTTACGCCGACCCAGTGGAGCTTTCACATCAGGCGCAACAGAGAGGCACCATGAAATGGGAAACTACTAACGTGGAAAGTTGCTCACTGTCCTGTAACGTTTGAATTCACTAAATCGTGTAAGAATTTGTTTGATGAAGCTGCTGTGCCGTGCCTCAGACCCCGCTACTCTCTTGGGCTTTTCCCTGTGGCGCATTTCTGTGTGCAAATATATACGCACGTTTCATCGCCCTGAAAGACAAAGAAAACAGTTATCGCTCTGGGGTGTAGCTTCACGTCCCTGTGATCAAAACTCCAACTCAGAGGAAAAGATGAACTGTTTTTTCAGTCTGAGCGGCTTTTGTAGATCTGTAATGCGCAAAGAAAAGATGGTCATCAGGGGCGCACAGGTGGGCGCGCTCTCCAAGGTACCAACAGATCTGTCTGCGCAGTTCCGCCGCTCACACAACCTGGCAGTTTGGACACCAGAGGAACAAAATCTGCCGTCCAGCTCAAATCAACCCTCGGCTTAGCTGTGACCCATCGTTGCGCGGTGTTTGATTATATACGGAGGATGGATTTCTCTACACGGTAGTCTTGAGAGGAGAGGAGGGGACATGGGCGGGGCTGAGGCGCCTCTCATTTCCCCTCCATGCTTAGCGGGGCAGCAGGGCTGGAGAGACCTCCGGGGAGCACAGTCGCCAGTCCAGCACGGAGACCCGCCTGGCCAAAAAACCGCGCCTCACACTTGCCAGGATTGCCAAATATTCCTGAAAAATATACCTGCTATTTATGGCATGTGGCTTGTAACTTTACTCCTGCTGTACTGTCTCCAAGAAGGTAAGAGATAAAGAAATGCCTCTATTATTTCACATCCTGTGCACTGATTGACGATCTTTGCTGTTCGTAAGTTTAATAGAAAGTGATAATCGCAACCTCCATTAATTTGTACCTATGAATGATAATGGGTTGCTTGTGCTGCGATGTTGTAATTGGATGTCTCGTGATGAGGAATTTATTTAAAATGATTCTTTAAATCAAAACTGAACAGGTAGAAATACTGTGAAAGCAAAGGTATAAAGTATTTTTAGTGTGTTTTGTGGTTCCTTGCAGCCGCCGTGTGCTTCAGATGGTGCTGATAGCACGGGTTGTTTTCGCATTACCAACTCCAGTTATGAATATGTAAAATGGCTGAATAGGGAGAATGAGGTGCAAATACAGAGGAAGGGTGCGAGAGAAATGAAGACAAGTATCGACCTCCAATTATCTCAATTGATTACCAATTTTAGAGCAAATTCACCCAAAATGTTGCGCTCCTCTAAAGTTTTCAGGGGGATACGTGTGATTTTTGATATCTTTATGCTCTCATTGTGTAGCCTGTGCTAATTGCAGCCATTCTGATGGACTGAATTTGCACAACTGATCCATTCCATAGAGATATTCTTTTTTTAAGGATGAGATTTTTTAAGGGGTTTTAATTCTTGTCCTGTGTGAAAGCAGATTGTTGTAATTTTAAATTAGCTGACAAATTAAAGGCCCCTTTCCTCCAACAGCGGCCTTATTATTTTAATAGGTCGACACCCATTTAAAGGCCATAATTCGTGCAGTTTTAATTCATTTTGGTCTTTTCTGTTTTTTCCTTTGTCTAATTTTATTGACACATGTAAAAGGCGATCTATTTGTTTAAACTGATTGAATTTTTTCTCTTGTTTAGTAGGCTAAATACAGCAAATCCCCAGCCCTACTGCAAAGTTGATCTTCTGCTATTACAGTGCATTATAATAATCCTGGACAAATCTGCGTCGGAAATAACAGAAATTCAACACTCTGTCCACACCAGAGCATTTTCAGGCCTCTGTGTAACCTGCCTGTTTGGAGCCATGTTTAGGCTCATATTGTTTTGTCCTTATTAGCACAGGCCAAGAGAAGATGCAAATTTATTTATCAGTCAGTGTGAATGGTGAGTTGGCTGCAGGGAGGGATGTAGCTGTTCTCAGTGCCAACGAGCTGATCAAAATAGGCCATTAGGTCCATTTTACATTTTAAATTCTGACATTTTCTCACATCGGATCACTCACACCCCCTCCCTTTTTAAAAAAATATCATTTAGTAATTAGTCACATGTGTCCTGCTTGTGTTTGTTACCCATGCCGTGTTTTACTCAGCATTATTAAATTCCCGGCATTATATGTTGATTTATTACAATTATTCAAGGTGGGATTGCAGAGTCTCTCTGGGTTCTGTGGAATCGTATTAATATGCGCAAATTTATTTCACCAAATGAGAAACTCCAGGGGCGTGGGTGCAGATTGTGGACTTGCCCGGTCATGTTCCTCACTAATAGCGCACCTGGACCCCGCGGACGTGTTCGCGCGTGTGCCAGCGCGTGCGTCATGGCACGTGTTTTCTGTGTGTGGGGCGTGCAGGGAGAGGAAGTGACAGGGACACCCCTTTTGGTGGTGCTGTTAAATGCTGGATACTTTTGGGTGTACTTTCATTTTATGGAAGAAGCTCAAACTTTCTAGAAGAATTATATGAACACGTAGCTACATTTTAACAGACACTCAGATGTAGGAAAAGTTTAACAATTATCTTGCTCCCTAGCTACAATTTTAACCGGATTAAAAGGGGATTTTATTGTGGGGTTGTTGGTTTTTTTTTTTTTCGTCATTTGAAAATAAAAATGTGTTTCCTTATAGCCAATTATTTTTTTACAGATTGCTGCCTACAATGTTTATACTTGATTTAATTAATTGGCAGTCATAATAATATACAGGCCTGCTATAGGCATATTTTAAAATGAAAGTTTATACTTAAAAGAAATTTAAAAATTGTGTGGAATGTTCAAATCATATAACTTCAATTTTAATTTGAGATGTGTAGATCAATAAGGTGATCCTTCAGCCTGGCACACTTTTCTCACTCCGTTGCTCTCCCCCCCTTTAAAAATCTCACCCCCACACCCCCAGTTCCTTCTTAGTCAGATTCCCTGCTGCCTTTGCAAGGCTGCACAATTAAAGCTGCGATCTGAGCTACAGCCACCGCTCAATGACAGTGTGGTGTGTTCCACAGAGGTGCCAATCATTCAATTTTTAGCAATTGGCACTATTTACATCATTATTATTTTACATTTCAAACTCTGAAAGGAGTGTTGATTAGCATTGATTATTATTTTTGTCATGTCAGGAACTGGAACATGATTCTGGACACACATAAAATATGGACACACATATTTAAACATGTCTATAAACTGACTGTTGCTGGCCATTTGTGAAATAAAAATACCAGTCTGTTGATTGACTTGCATCCCCTAAGTGGCATCTATCTAGTATTTGCACTCAAAATTTCCTCAGTGTTGTTGCCAGTTGGTGGGTAAAGTGTGCTGGTGTGAGACTGTCAACAGGGAAACAGAGCTCATTGCACTTCCCAGCTCCCCAATAGGATGTCACAGTTTTGTCACTGGCATCCCTGCTCTCCCATTCGTCCTCATCATATCCCAGTGAGATTATGCATAAAAATTACTAATTTAAAAAACACACAAAAAAGATGCAAACGAACACCACTGACAGTAAGAAATGTTATTTTTTTCCCAGCAAGCGCTCAGTGTAAGACCAACACTGATGCAAAATTGAGCCAGACCTCCTCCAAATTTTATTGGATGCAGGAGCTGCATATTTTCAGAAGGAGGGTGTATTCAGCAAATGTCAAATCTCTGAAGCAAGTAGTTGTTTTTGTTGGATCTCTCTCTCTCTATCTCTATCTCTCTCTCCATCTCTCCCTCCCTCCATTGCTTCGTTTCACAGTAACTCCCCTCCCTCTCTCTCCCTCATCACTAGGCAGAATTAAAGGTTGGGGGAGGGGCAGTTTATGCAGACTGTGCTGGGACTTGTGATCCACAGATTTGATATTCACATTAAGACAGAAACTGGCTGCTTTGATGTGAGGGGGGAGGAGCTCCCAGGGGACTGCCGAAGTAGCATACTTTTTTCTTTTTTACTGACACAGCATGGGCCAGAGGGTTTGGTGGTGGTGGGTGGGGTTGGGAGTGGATTGTTGGGGACAGGGTGTACAGAAAGACAGTGGGTGGGGAGCGGCGATACCCCTTTGTTAATGAGATGCAACCCTGACAGTCTTCCCCCCCTGTCTTCACCCACCAACCACCTACTTATGCCAGACCCCTGAGGATTATCCATAAGCTTACACCTATCTTTATCCCCCTGCATACCACCAATATTCAATTCACACCTCTTCCTACAGTACATCCCCTCCCCTTTCTCCCCTGCTGCTTTATGTTTCCATACACAGTTTCAGTCCTTGTGCTTCAGTATCAAAACCACAATTTGCAACTTTCTGTCCCCAAAACACCTGAAGGATAAATGATGGAGAAATACAAGGCAGAAATGAAGTGAACACAGCAGTCAGAGTGTGTTTTCAAAGCCGTTTCCAAATTAGAAAATACTGAGGAAGAGGACGGAAAGGTTTCTGACAGATTATAACGCTGATATGCATGTCACGTCTCAGTCAAGTTGAGTCCTACTGTTGAACCTTATCACATTTATTCATTAACTATTAAATTAAATATAATTGAAATGCTGTGAAAATGATTTGGTCTTCTGAAAGAGATGGAAAGGTATTAGAGGTAGGGGGAAGAAAAAGAATATATGGAGGTATTACGCCTCTGGCCGGGCACAAGGATCGTTAGATGTGAGGGGGTTTGTTTACTTCCTTATCACAATTCACTTTTGGACGTTGAGAGTGTGTACACTCTTGTGTGCAGTCACATCCTGGAGAGGCGTAGACCAGCTGCATTATGCATGATGAAATCTTGCATAGGTGATGACTTCTGCCTTGCTGACATTCATATTCATGCATAGTTCTCTGGAAGGATGTATAAATAGTGGCTGTGACTCTGACAGCTTAAGCTTTAGGTCCAGCAGTAAAACCTTCCATTGAGGGCTGAGTTTCTCTCTGGTGCTGTGTCTGAATGAAGCTGATGAAGCCTCCTGGGTGCAGGTAAGCTGCAGCAGCAGCATCACAGGAGCCCCACAGCTTCTGTCCCTACATCTGTCAGAGTACTGACTCTGCTAGGGTTAGATCTTTGTGGACATGCATCACTGGGAAACTGGTTGTTCAGAAATTTCCCCACTGTGGGATCAATAAAGTACCTACTCTACTTGTGACTGAAACAAACAGGTAACCCCACCGTGTGTGGGATAGAGTGTTATCAAGTTATGAAAGCTCACTTGCAGGTTTCACATATGTATGGCTCTTAGATAAATCAGCATAGATTAAACTGGAACAATTAGTCAGTTAATTGGGTTGTCTGTAGCAAGGAAATTAATCGGCAACTATTTTATGATCAATTAATCTTTTCTTGTCATTTTTCAAGAAAAAAAAATCCAAACATTCTTACAGCTTCACAGCCACTTCTCTCTGGTTTATATCAATGTAAGCAAAATATCTTTGGAATTTGGACAAAGTAATGCAAGCGAAGGCCTCTCCTTGGACTCTGGGAACTTGTGATTGACAATTGTTTACTGTTCTATAACAATTTTAAAAAACGACATATTTATCAATAGTGAAAAGAATTGTGAGTGACTGTTTTGCAGCCTTACATTAATGTAGCAGTATGACGTGATGGAACTTTTAACAATACAGTAACAAAGAAGGGACTGTTGTTAGTGTTCAAATTCAGCACTGATATTGTTAATTTAGTATGATCACCATGAGCTGAGAACAATATCATGTTTTACCAGACTAAACCCTGTATAACTTACTATACTGTAAGTTCAGTGTCGTGGCTGGTTGTATCTTATCCTGGCAAGATTGCTGGTTTGACAGGATGCTAACTATAGCTTACTACCATGGATGTGTCACTGACTGGGAGTACTGGGCACCCAGGGGCCAGGGGGCCCCTAGACCAAAGAACTAAAGGGACTTTTAACCTTTTTGTTGGAAAGTTAATCAAATGACTACAAAACCTCTACAACAAGCCCAATGTACAGACACGAAATGACTAAAAAGAGAGAAAACAATGCCAAAGACAGCAAACCCATCCAACAAAAGTGGACACAAAACAACTGCAAAGAGATGTAAAACAACCTCAAAATAGACATAAAACTATTAATAGCAGGTGCAAAAGGACCAAGAGATGTTAAATGGCAAAAAACCGACATAAGATGGCTAAAAAAGCAAATCTAGAAAGGACACAAAGCACCTACAAGAAGACAAACTACGTCTTGTTGTGTTAGAGAGATAGGGGCCATTTACGTCTTTCCTCATTTTCTCTAAATCCACCCATGGCTACTACTGTACATGCTTATTGTTGCTTTTCATTGTCCAGACATAAAAAAAACAAATCCTGCCCTTTTCTGTAATTATCCCTATTAAGTAATGATTTTGTAAAAAGTTGACTTGAAATTAAAATAAAATTTGTTGCCATGTTTGGCTAATCACTCAGTTTTATTCATAATGGCTTAACTTTAAATTGATGTTTCCCTTGTTTAAACATAACCAGAGCTCTAAACTGAATGGATTCTATTGGGGGATCATTCTTTGCTCTGATACACTTGTGGTCATAACAGCAAAATGCCTCAATCTGTCTCTGGTAGTATGTGTGAACAGTGGGAGTAGATGTGATAATGCACATGGTGAAGATACATTGTTCCAAGGTTCACCAGGGGCAAATACAAAACCAGACAGGTTCAACATTATGAACATGTTTAAGAGTTGTATGTTAGAATGAGTACAACCAGCCCAACTTGAACTCCATCCCTGACATTCTGAGTCAGCTGTGACAATTCATGATGCTCGATTGTGTGCGGCACTGCTGGTATATGTGGCATTTTCTTTCCTTGTCATACAAGCTGTCTGTATAGGTGGCACATATAGTTCTGCTGGTTTGAAATGAAATGGAAACTCTGCCACAAACCAGGGCTGGGCCAGCTGAGTTTTGGAGCAAACCCAGTGTGATGTACCAGTTGATGCTGTGCCTGGCCACGCCTAACCAAGGTTTTCAGTTTTTCATCTAACACTGACTTGGCCACCACTGGCATGTCAGTCATCTATATATTTATAATGTATACATACAGAAATGGACATTTCCTGTGTAGGTAGCCTACTTGTTCTGTTTTGCTCACTTCAGCAGCTTTTTTGTGACAGAATGTTTCCAAATTTAGCTTGTTCAATGGGTCACTGTTGTTAGGTTAAATTGCTGCATTGTTTTTTATTCAGTCACAGCTTTCAAGTGCCATCGCCACCATGGCAACCCACTCTGCCTCCTCCTAGTGTTACTGAGAGCTGCTTTTTGGAGTATGTGTGTGTGTGTGTGTGTGTGTTTGGAGTGAGTGCATGTGTGCTTTGCCTGGTTTTGACAGGCGCTGAGTGCTGGGACTTTGCTCTGATCCCCTTTCTATTCTACATCCTGCTCCATCAGTCCCGGTGCTTCCCGGCCCCCAGGCTATATAATCTACTGTATGAGAGGCTCTCCTGCTGCCCAGCCCCCCAGGCTCTCAGGGTGACCCCCTCACTCCTCCATTTTAGTCCTGTCCCCCCATTGGGAGATTATAGATATTGCAATCTGTAATATGGGTTTTATGCTCAGGGGCATTATCTGTAATCTGCGGGGGGGGCGGTCCTGACCCGGTTTTTGCAGCCCACCACTGGACTTCAACACAGCTGAAGCTTTGTGAGAAGTAAAATTTGGCAATATTATCAAATGTCAGTGTGAGCAAATAAATAATTGAAGCTGCCACAAATATAGAGGAAAAATGTATTTGTTCCATATTGTAAAAAGTAAACACTGAAGTCATGACTGAAGAAATATCACAACGACCGCTAATTTCATTCAATTTGGATCCTCGTTCCATCAGTGTCTGTTAGTGTCCTCTATGTTTTAAAGCCTTTCTGTGCTGCATATTAACAGGGTGAACATGTGGCGGGATGGCACGTGTTAGATGACATAATTTATGATCAGCGGTGGTTAACATCAGCAGTGTCCTCTTAGATATTTGTCTTCTATTCCTTCTTATAATACCCCAAATATGAGGGACCCTCACAACCATCCACCTCCTCCTTTTCTCTTCTTGCTCTCCGTTCACTGTTGGAGCTGTGAAGTGTTCAGTCTGAGTGAAGAACTTAGCTGTATATGTACAGTATGTGTGTGTGTTTGTGAATGTGTGTTAAATATGTAAGTAGATTAAATAGATTTAACTCTCTGCGTCTGGCATAGGAATTTCAGTCACGTAACCTTTCAGCATGTCCCCCTGTCTGTCTTTGTTTGTGTATGCATGCATACACTGTACAGAGGTAAGAGGCTCCTCCCCACTCCTAAACAACCACAGACTTTAGTCATAATCCCTGGCTTTCTGCATCACAGGACTGATGTTTACAGCTGGACATTTGACATACATTTGTTATGATTATTTAGCAGCACCTTTGAAGGACATTCCCACTCGACCCTTCTTTTGCTCATCAATGTGATGCTAATTACTTTAAATCAATAGAAACGGAATCCTATTAGCTTACATTCACACTTTTGTGTGGTTATAAACACATAACAGGTGCTCACTGTTGGCCCCTCACCTCCACCTCACCCTGTTTAGTGATGTTGTGTTGTGTGTTTGCCCCTGCAGTACACAGTGAGGATGTGGGCTCTACCAGGCTGTACTTTGTGAATGCCTCCCTGCAGAGGGTAACCTACTCCAGCTCGGTGGGGGTGTCCCTGCCCTGTCCAGCAGGGGGCACCCCCAGTGCCATACTGCGCTGGTACCTGGCCACTGGCGACGACATCTACGACGTGCCCCACATCCGCCATGTGCATGCCAATGGCACCCTACAACTGTACCCGTTCTCCCCCTCCGCCTACAACAGCTACATCCACGACAACGACTACTTCTGCACTGCTGAAAACCAGGCCGGCAAAATCCGCAGCCCCAACATTCACATCAAAGCTGGTGAGTTGGACAGACAACTGTCTGGGGAGGGAGGGAGGCAAATGGCCAAAAAGTAAAGAAGGAATGGATGAAGAATGAAGCAAAGGGTTACCACATGATAAGGAATGGAGCAAAGAGTTGTGACAGCATAAAGGAGGAGCTAGAACAGATGTAATTGGCAGCTGAAAAAGCCCAACCTCCAAACAGAAGCACCCACTCTAAAATAGCCCAATTCGACCTGAATGGGGATTGACCTAGAACACAGTCTACAGAGACAACATCTGGATCACATATTACACCAGGCCTTGGCCTTTGCTCACACCTATTTGACTGAACCACTGCACTTTACACAGACATAACCCCTTTAGCTTCATATACAACATGGCACCATCTGCTAGGATGGAATCCAAAACACAATAGTACCTGTGGTTAAGTGGCAACTCCTGTGTGATTTCTAAATAATATAAGCAGATCAAATAGGGAGGGAAAGGTCTGCAAGGTGTGAAAAGCATTTCACTGTCTAGTATTGAGGAGATATGGTCTTATCAGTCACCTTATCATCATTTTTATGAACACAAGAATTTTCATTTATTAACCATTGTTTCATTTTGGATCTATATTAGGTATTTCCAGAAAAAATTAATTACAGTGAATAGTAGTAGAATAAAGAATCAATCAATAAACACTATTTGTAGGTGGTCTGTTTTTGGAAACTTTGACCAGAAGCTGCTTCTGTTGCCATCATATTCTCTTTTCTGTCCTCCTTCTCCTCCTTGCTCTGTTGTTCTTCAAACTGTCCCCTTGTGCCATACTAAAAATAGCCACAGCACACTTCTTTAATTATCTCTCATTAACAAAACTAATTGGTGCTTTCCATTGATTAGACCATCTGAGGTTGCTAAAATAGCACATCTGGGGGTCTGGGTTCCTCCAGCTCTTCAATGAGCAGAAATTCATGAAGAAGAAATTGAAATTTACTTGACGAACAGTTACATCAAACTACAGCTGGCTGATAGTTACACTGCAACTTTTTGTCCCACCCCACCACCCCCTTCCCATCATTCATTAAGGCCACTTGGTCCCCCCCCTACCACTCCCTGCCATCAATATCTGTTTTCACATTCTGCCTCCCAACACTGACCTGAACAAATACTCATATTCATTCTGCTAATACTAGTGCTAAGTTGAGGATTCGAGCCAGGACCCTGAGCTGCATGCCAGCCAGTCACTGCCTTCATTCCCACATGACCTAAAAGCCTGACCTCAGGAGACGAGGATTTAGCTCGAACCAAGCATGCTGAGGGCAGCAGGCTCTGTCAGGCCCTGGCAGCTATGGTGCACAGGTTACGCTCAGATAGGATGCAGATGTTTTATTTTGAGCCTCAGTCTTGCAACTGTGGTTTTGCACTTGACAATAATCAACAGAGTTCTCATTTGAATCACCTGTACTGCTTCATGTCTAACAACAACATCTGAACTAATTCACATCAGCAATGGTTCATTTCATAATATTCCAAAATCATAAATATCTGCTGTATGCTACTCATAAATTCAAAGCTGAGAATAAATTTCCATGTGCTTGCATGTGTGTCCCTCTTCCAACGGGAATGTATGCACGCTGTCATCTTGTCTGTTACCAGGGAAGGGATTCCAGACCAGTTTCTTAGCAACCTTTGGATACGTCCTAGCTTTCATGTCCTTTGCTAATGAGTCCCTGCTCATTCAACAGAGTGTCAAATATTGCATAAACCTGCAAAACTGAAGCAGCAATCACATTTCAGTTTATGTTGAAAGTGCTGCTGACGTTGTTGTATATTTATGAAGTAGTGTAAAAAAAAAAAATAGTTCAGTGTTTAATAATGATGCCATGATAGAAAATAATTTCCATGATTATCCTGACTAATGGTGGCTTGGTCACCATTGATGGTAAAAGCTGAGGCAGGATTAAAAGAGTTCAAACAATGCATAAGAGAAGGCCAGTCATTTCCAATGAATACATCTGGAGTGCTGGGGTAATTGATGAAAGGGTGTTTTGCTCTGGGGTGTTAATGTGTTTTGATAATGTAAAGCACAAGTAAATTATTGATTTTGTCTCAAAGCAGGACTAAAAAGCTCACGCTGTGATAAGCTCATCGTGATGTTCATCCATTGTCAGCACATCTTCTGGACAGATGATGGGACATGTTTTGTGCTGATAGTTTTACCTCTTGATAAACTGAATTAATCGTTTCTGGCTAGAAAAGCCACTCAAACAACATTAAGGACAGCATATGTCACCACACTTCTGCTATTACTGGTATGAAAATCATTTTCCCTTGGATATCAGATTTTCTTAATATTGTTTATGTGTGGGTGTAGTTTTCAGGGAGCCCTACACTGTGCGGGTGGCAGACCAGCGCTCGATGCGGGGCAATGTAGCTGTGTTCAAGTGCCTCATCCCTGCTGCTGTGCAGGAGTATGTCAGCGTTGTGTCCTGGGAAAGAGACACCGTTTCCATTGTCCCAGGTAAGACATCATGCACATGAATTCGGATTATCTTGAGGTGGGCAGCTTGACTGATTTCATAACACTTAGGTATGTCTTTATCCCATATGTGTGTCTGTGTCTGTGTAGGTGTGTGTATGTCTGTGTGTGAGGCCAGTTGATGCACTGCTGAGCTCTGTGTTTGACTGAACTCTTAACTCCTGTCTTCCGTCTGCTCACTGTTCTGGATCACTGATCTGGTCCCCTCTCATCGTTCTCCTTGCTTCCTGGACATATCTCCTCACTCACTCTCCTTCATCTTTCTTATTTTTTTCTCAGACAGCTCTCCCTCTCCCTCTCTGCTATCTCCATCTCATCATATACAGTTTTTCCCCGTAATGTCAAATGCCTTTAACTGTGACTGACACTATGTTAAACAGCCTCTCCTGCAAGTCACATGACAATTTCACATTTTTATCATGTGATCTATTTCTGTCCTCTATTTGCTTGTCTTTACCATCTTGTCCTTGAAGAACAGGGCCACAATTAGAGACGCAGGATGTCAATAGCACTGTGCCCCCACATTCATCTTCATTAACCTCATTTGTGTGCGAGGGTGTGTGTGTGTGTGTGTGTGTGTGTGTGTGAGAGAGAGAGAGAGAGAGAGAGAGAAATAAGGTCTGTTTTTATATCTGTTGTTTAGCTGTTTATAGATACATTATGTATATTTTATAATGCAATATAGTGAGTGATGTGCAGTTTATGTTTCAGATGTATGCATGGTTATTTTTTGCATTTGAAATGCTTGCAATAAAGATTTAGTAAAGAAGGATGAAGGATAGAAGGGAAAAATGAACCAAAGGCAGAAAAGTAAGGAGGGTAGTGGGGCAAGAATGGCCTCAGGTCCCAGCAGATGGTGTTTTATGTTATATGTATGCAAAACACACAGACACTGTGTTGCACATACACATGAGCCAAGGTTGTATTAGGTTGTTATTGTCTGTTTTCATGTACAGTATTATAGTGTTTTACTGTACTTTGTATTAAATGTTTGTATTGTGTGTGGGGTGTGTGTATTGCCATGAGGCTGCTGTGTGTAATTAGGGGTATATGGATCAGCTGATGAGCAGTGAGTGCGAGGATCAGATGTTAAACATGATGAGCTGCTCACTGAACTCAGAATTTGTTTTCCTATGACAGCAGCACATGCAAACACAGCAAACACTGGCAGTGCCATTGTGTTCAACCTTGACCCAGATAGCCCTGCTAATCAACACAGTGACCTCATCATCTTTACAGCCGATCAACACAGTCATCTGTCTGTGACATAAACATAGCATGTTTGCTGCTCATAATCTGAATACTGTACAAACTGATGCATGGGGATGTACAAAACATATGCAACCATGCATATGGAGATAACCAGCGAATATCCTTATACAGGAGTTACGTGTGGTTATACAGAGTAAAAAGCTCAGTGTGAAACATTATTGATGCTGGTCTCCAACTTTCTGAGTTACTATAACATCACTGGTCAGACTCTCGTTCTCGCTTCCTCCTCCATGGCCAGCAAACACTGTCTGGATTGGTTTAATGAAGATGTGAAAATTTAAATTGATTTTGTGACTGAAAGGGTGGTTGCTTGGCTTGACTGTCATTATTTCTGAAGAAACACAGGAGAAGAAGCTAAGGTTCAGTGACTATACACACTCAACAGCCAATTTATTAGGTACTCCTGTTTGCATTTATAAGGGTAGTCACTTTGTTTGACCAAGCATGTTACACACACAGAATTTGTTTCCAATACAGAACCAAAGCAGCAAGAACAGCACCACTGGGATTCAAACCCAGGATCTCCTATCTTACTAGACAAACGCTTTAACCAACTAAGCCACATTAGCTATATCCACTTCGCTGCAACATTTCCGCTGTAACACCTGTGTTTATGAGGCTCAAAATGTTTCAGTTTCTAGTGGAATCCTCATAAATGTGTAAGTTCAATTATATGTTTGTTATTGAGGTCATAGTTAAAGGTGGTGTTGTACTGGACTGTATCATATTTAAAGGTGTCTCTATATTTTTGTCCTCCTCCTCAGCTACATAAATGAGAGGGTCAGAATATTAGGAGTCATGAGAGGTGGAAATCACCCTGGACTTTTTGCCAGTCAGTCATTCAGCTACAACAGACATTCACACAACTGACTTGCATTTCTATTATTTTCCTTCTGTGACAACAAATTTTCTGCCTAGAATGTTGCCTGTTATTATACTGATAAAGAGGGACACTGAAATTTGCTGTAAGCAGCAAGTCAAAGCAACCATTGCAACTGTTTAAATCACAAAAACAATATTTAGTTTCAGGGCGACTAGCTGGTTTCATTGCTGCAACATACGCACACACTAAAATGATGTTTTCCTGCCTTTGTCACTGTTGGGGCTCTCTTTCCATTAGTTGTAATGTGTAAAATGATTTTTGTTTATATCTTGATATTTACATTTTAATTGATGTCTATTAGAGGAAGTGAGGCGTTCACGTTCTCCACCTTTGAAACAACAGCTGTGGCTGACTTGATGCTGGATCCCGCCATAGTTTATACCTGTATCTCTTTTTATGATTTGCCACTACCTGCTTACGAAGCAAAAACGTGACTTGTCTAACAAAATTCCTTTGAAATAAAAAGAACCAACCGAGCCTAAATTGCCTACTTCATCTTCACTTAATAGCTACACAAGGAGTCACTTGGTGCAGACTCTGATCAGTAGCATGATCACATACTGCTCTGAAGGTTGAGTTGATGACATAACACAACATAGCCATGCCCTCTGAACCCCAGCAGGTTCACACACACATGTTCTCCATCTGGAGCATGTGTGTGTGTGCGCGTATGTGTGTCTCCCCTTGCCTGCCCCACTTTCTTGTCCAGCCAGGGCAGTGAGGTAGTTTAAGAGGGGCGGGGTGCGTGCAGACTGACCTATTTCCCTTACACTCCCCTGTCCCATACATCACTGTAGTTAAGCTTTGTGTGTGTGTGTGTTTGTGTGCGTGCATGTGACCCTCATGAGACAATGGAGGCCAACTAGTCTAAGCAGTGATCTGAAGCAGGAGAGCTGGATCGGAGGCAGAGAGATGGGAAAAAACAACAGCGAGGCACATAGAAGGTTCAGCTCGCAGACTTTGGCTGTCATTCTAACCAGCTGAAAGCTAATGAATGGCTCAGATGAATAGAGAGTGGACCAGCAGATGGCTGCAGCCGCATGGTGGTCCGCAGAAGATGCCCAGCCATGCTTTATCTAATCCACCTGCCCCACAGTTTGGGCTTTTTTCTGTATTTGCACAGTACTTTGATACACATAAAACCTGGTGTTGAAAAGCAGTGATAGAAAAGAAATAATTACAGCACAGGTATATTCCATTACATCCATTTAGTTTAGTTCCTACTATTGAAAGTAAGGTGGATGTAACCTGTGAGTGAATGCTGAGTTATCAGGCTTCATTAATGTACACAGATCTTGATGGGTGCCACCGGGTGAGAGGGTCACTTACAGGCTACATTACAGATCAGTCGTCTGCCCCTGGGGTCCCTGCTGGAACTCATACAGTTCAACAGAGACATAAACACACACACACACACATACACAGGGATTACAGTAAGTGGTAATACCTAGAAAATTACAGTTGACTTCATCAATTTGCGGTAACAGCAAGTTACAGTGACTAAGTAGAGTAGTTTCCAGACTTAGGTTTTATGATGTGATGTGGCGCACGCTCCCTGAATTCTAGTTTAGAAGACTACTTCACTCCATCATAGGGCTGCAACTAATTATAGTTTTTGCTGTCACTTTAATTTGATGATTATTTTTTCTATTGATTGTCCTGTCCAAAAATATGTTCGGAAATGGTCACAGTAATGTGGGACAAAAGGATGTCTTCAAATGTTTTGTTCAAGCTAATGGTGATATTTTGTTTTTTTAGTGACAAAATGCTCTGCGTACTGTACAGCAAGTTCAGTTTACATGCACACACCACAGTTTTTCCTTTCAGTAATTAAAAAGTTAGTGTCATAACTCTCCACACAGGTGCAGTGAGGAGGGAGGTGACAGAGGACCTCATGGAGAGCAGTGGTGTGCTAGGACACGATGTCTGTTTGGAAATCTGTGCTTGTGCATTCGGAGTAGGAATACATTAATAGATACACTTGTCTAGGACAAGGCAGACTCTTGTAAACACCAGTCTGACACGCACAGAGACACACTCTCTTCTACAAAGTACAAATGTATGAACCTGCCCCCTCCACATGTACCCCCTTCAAAAGTAACACAATAAAGCCATTTTCAGCTTTTACATGACCCTGCATGAATATGGAGCTCTTATTAAACTTTAAACATTAAGGCTGCAGTCTGCACTGCTGCGTGGCTGCTGTCGCGTTGTTGTGCTCGGGATGGCTGGGTGCAGCAGGACAGTATATAACAGAGGAGGAAGGAGAGCACGTGGCATCCCCAGGGCTCATAGAACATAACCCCATCAACTGTCAACCCCCACCGCACCCACACACATACATACACTCACGCCCACCTCCAGCTTTCACACCATCCTCTCTCACCTCTCTTTCATGTGCTACTGCCTCTATCCCATGTGGCATACAGCAGGCCATAGGGGTTAGTGGGACAAAATTGTGCAGCTGAAGGTGCCGTTATTATGTACATGCAAATATATGGCAGTAACACCAAAACATAATGAGCAGCTTCCTGCAAAATAATCAAGAAATGACAAAACATCACAGAAAAAAGTGACATTGTTTATACAATTTAAATTCAAGTTCTAGTGCAAGTGAAAAACTCACTAACACTTGTCCTACAGTTTGTTCACCTCTGTCTGTTTTTTTTGTCACTTTCTCTGGATATTTTTCCCCTCTTACATTTACCCCAGTATGCTGAGAGTGACAGAGCAGGGCAGGAACAGATGGGGTGCTGGCAGCTATCTTCTACTCCGTTAGGTTGAGTAGGCACGTGGGTGGGTGTGTTAATTAGCACAAATAAGAGTG